ACAAAGAATAAGGGAAACTTTTTTTTTTTAATATACTTTGTTTTATAGAGAGAGTACGCGATTGTTATCCTTTTTTCACTTCATGTTTTTGCTCTGGAGTAGAATTCAATTATATGAAGAATTGCCCCGATCAACTCAATCAAATGCGCTCAAGGGCAAATCAAAATAAAAAAAACGAGGTCAACAAAGAATAAGGGAATCTTTTTTTTTTAATATACTTTGTTTTATAGAGAGAGTACACGATTGTTATCCTTTTTTCACTTCATGTTTTTGCTCTGGAGTAGAATTCAATTATATGAAGAATTGCCATATTTTAGAGTGTTTGCATGTTTTTGATGTTATGGCTATGAGAGCCGTTTTGTATCTTGGTGCCTAGGCCACCGTTTATCTTGTACATTTGTGTTATAATTTTATATGAAAGAATGTGTTAGTTAAATATTTATTTGTGTTTTTATTTTCATTTTGTTTAAAACTTCACTTATTCTAACAATTATTTACACTGCCTTATATTAATCTCTTGCATTCTTATTATTTAATTAACCTTAGTAAAAATAATACTTAAAAATTATGTAAAATTAGGATAATAATAAAAACCCTTAACGATTAAGGTCGTAAGAAATTATTATGTAAAATTGATATTCAAAATTATTAACAGTAAAAAAATAGATTACATTCAAAAATTGGTACAATCTTATACATAAATTTACATAGGATAAGTTAGAAAAATTAATACAAAAAAGGGTGAACTAATAAATTTTAAATCTTAAATACTAACATATTTAATCTTCAAGGTTTATTATTCAATTTATAATTCAAAAATCAATGTTTATACTTATAACTTGTAAATTCAACCTAAGCAATAACAAGAATGGCTTATGAAGTTAATTATTAGTATTTTTTAAACTAAAATTATAACCTTATTCATTTGTACTACTTCTAAATAGTGATGTATTATCTTATATTTTAGTAATCTTAAATTCTTAGTTTTTACTTTGGTTAATCATTTAATCAGAATTATAGAATTTTTTTTATTTTCTTTACAACAAGCAAGAGTTTAAGTTAGCGATAATTTGATGAGTGTAAATAATGTACTATTTTGAGTATTGTATTTTCAGTGCAAAAATATTATTATAGTTTTTCTTGTGCAGGAAAATCTCAAAAAGGACACAAAATTTTATGTATCATACAGGTAACAGTGTCTAATGAAATGTCGCAGCTCCATCATGAACACTGCCAAAGCCCTACAAACAAGAGATGGTAGCATAGACTTCTCTGTTTGGAAGCACCGCGATGATGTCAAAATATCAACTTAGCGGCATCGAATTCTTTATTTGTAAGTGTCGTAGCACCACAATTCTCATGTCGTAAAGCCAAATTTGTCACTTGGGCATCGGGTACCGTAACACTCAAACGATGGTAATGTTGCAGCGTTACAGTTATAATTTCCATATGACACTTTCTGCCAGTGAAGCGGCATGCACATGACTGTTCATTGAATAACTGTTCCACACCAGCCAATACTGTGGTAGGCAAAAACATCAGTGCTGGGGCGTTAGTTCAATTTATGGGTACCGTAGCGTTGATCATTGGAGTGTCGCAGCACTAGTTGCCTATTTTCTATTTTTCTATAAATAGTTATTATGTTATATTTGTAAGAGAGTCCAATATTCACTTATTTAATTTTAGTACTTTTCTTAGTACTCTGGAATCTTCGTAGAGTCAAATCTAAGGGAGATTAAAGAAATACTAGATATAATCATTTTATTTTTTAGCGTATGTTTGTTGGATCAACTTTATGTTCAAGTTTTACATTCTTTGTGGTTACATATGTTAATTATGATCTGATTAAAAGTTAAGTTTTTAGTACATTTTGACTTTGAATATTACTGATTTGTTGATTCATTATTAATGAATTAAGGCACACTAATCCTAGAAAAATGTGTCACTAAGTTTTCTATGTTTAATGTCTCTATCCTAAAGAGAGCATGCATCCTAAGTCTATGTTTTCTAAGACTCTGTCCTTACTTTTTGTCCTTAGGTGTCACTAATGTTGTATAGAATTAAACTATGTTTATTTCTAACCCTCTAGACGTACGCATGTGTAAAATGGATTTAGGGATCTATAATAAAAATAAAACAAGAAAATAATCAAATAATTAAAGTTACTACAACGTCCTAAAAGGTGGGGAAGCACGCACACAATAGGCTCCTAAGGGCTTCTAAGTTTTAAGAGAACTTACTACATAGGAGCTACGACCTAATGGCTCGACCCGTAGCACCCCCACTAGAATGAATGGAGGCGACTGATTTATTTATGTAGACTCCTTCCTCACAACAATTCCAAAAGATCCCTTCTTTTTCCTCTCCCGAAAGTACCTCGCAAAACACAGAAAAAAGAAGAAAGGTTGTATTAGAGCACATTTAATATTTAAAAAACAAATAATTAAAATGAAATGTAATTAAAGAAGGACGTACCTTTTTTTTTTGGCATGTATACCGAATGAGCCACGTGCCTTTTGAAACTTTTCATTTTACAAGCATTTCACCATATTTCATTTCAAAAACACAAGTAGTAAAAGTAGTAGAAAGAGAAAGAGGGGTAGAGAGAAGAAGAAAGGTATCATACGCATTTGCTTTAAGACACTTTCCAATAGTCATCCAAACAAACCTACTTTCCAACTCATCTCATTCCTCCAAAACTAACAAGAAGCATTTCAAGCCACTATTCTATTTCATTCATGCAAAGAGAAAATTTAAAACATTCTTCTTTCCAATACAAACATATAATATAAGATAACTCAAATTATTACCTCCAAGAATCATAACCATCAAATAACAAAAGAAATAAAGAAAAGGATGCACTTGAAAGAAACTAAATCCATCTCTCCATTCTCCACATAGCCATCAAATGAAATCTCACATATTTAAAGAAAGATATCACACTTTTCCTTCCAAACCACAAACTCATCTAATAGAAGTTTGAAACTCCCCATTTCACCAAAGAGATAATAACTACAAGAGGGGAAACTCGATGCCAATTTAATCTCCTGTAAAGGAATCAAGAAGCCTTCAACACAAAACATAACTTCTCCATAATCAAAACATCCTTCAATCCAAGCAAAGTGTGCATGTAATACTTTATCATATGAATATAGAGTAAGTGAAACCCTCCAACATAAAAAAACAAGTCATAGAATTTTTCAACATTGGGTGAATCATAAAGCCTTCCAACAATTTCTCAAATCACCATTGCACTAAATCCATACAAATCTCTATATGAAACATAAGGCAACAAGAACCGCCAACGCATTACTTACCACAATAATGCCACCATTCAAATACACATAAATTAACTTTCCAACAACTCTACATGATGAAGATATTCATCCATTTCCCTCACTGTGTTTATGAGCATAGTATTGAAGAAAGACAACTCTATGGATGCATATTTCTAATTAACCCATAAGCCCATGGTGCCACACTGCCACTTTGGGCAATAGGCTTTCCAATCCATCACATGCACCAAGCAAACTATAGCAAAATTACTTTTGAGATCTAAACATAGGGCTCTTCAAATTACTTTATCGAAATACCAACAACCAATTTAGCATCATAAGATACGATTCATTCCAATAGGCTTCAAAGAGACATACTCATGAAATCTTGTATGAGAACCAAAATACTACAAAACTCCGCACATCTCTAATAGTGACAAAAGATGTATTCGAGACCCAAATAACTTGTTGAACCAAAAGTTGGCATAATGCTCCATGCATACTTTTCATGTATGTTCGGCAACAAATCATGATTGAGAAATCTTTTACTTAACACGAATGACATCACTATATATCATTTTTGTGCAAATAGAATGCAAATAGAATCATTTATTACATTGAGGCATTTCTTCAACCAAGTGACATGCAACACCACGAAAGAGAGGAAAATCCATGTGACAGTCATGCCTTACACTCACACCTAGCAACGAGAGAAGAAAAGGGCCTCCACATAATAAAAAAATGCATATGCTTTACAAACATTTTCATGAATTTATTAGTGCATAAACTCACAATCTCATTAAACGTTCTATGGAATTTTCCTTATGCCTATATCATCTTCATTTATGCAAAGATAAACCATGCTTTGAACAACTCAAATCTATTCCAACGAAGTAGTAAAATAAGTAGCATTGAAGGAAAGAAAGAGAGGGAGGAGGAGGATAAGGAGAGGAACGGAAGGAGAAAAAAGAAGAAGAAGAAGAAGAAGAAGAAAAGAAGAAAGAGAATAGGGGAAGAAATCACCTGCGGCAGGAAGAGCCGGCAAAGGGGATTCGACTCGAGAAGCCAACATGCTCACTCAATAGGCACACAGAAATTATTGGCAAGCACTAAATACACATACATCTCAAAACCAATATAACGATTGCGAAAGCATTTAGTATCACCTTCCATATAACATGTTGAACCAAAAGTTGGCATAATGCTCCATGCATACTTTTCATGTATGTTCGGCAACAAATCATGATTGAGAAATCTTTTTACTTAACACGAATGACATCACTATATATCATTTTTGGGCAAATAGAATGCAAATAGAATCATTTATTACATTGAGGCATTTCGTCAACCAACTGACGTGCAACACCACGAAAGAGAGGAAAATCCATGTGAAAGTCATGCCTTACACTCACACCTAGCAACAAGAGAAGAAAAAGGCCTCCACATAATAAAACAATGCATATGCTTTACAAACATTTTCATGAATTTATTAGTGCATAAACTCACAATCTCCTTAAACGTTCTATGGAATTTTCCTTATGCATATATCATCTTCATTTATACAGAGATAAATCATGCTTTGAACAACTCAAATCTATTCCAACGAAGTAGTAAAATAAGTAGCATTGAAGGAAAGAAAGAGAGGAAGGAGGAGGATAAGGAGAGGAACGGAAGGAGAAAGAAGAAGAAGAAGAAAAGAAGAAAGAGAATAGGGGAAGAAATCACCTGCGGCAGGAAGAGCCGGCAAAGGGGCTTCGGTTAAGGCTCGGATTCGACTCGAGAAGTAGAGCAGAGAGGGAACAGAGAGAGGGAGGGAGTGAAAGTGGGCTTCGGTCGCCCTGCTTCTGCGGACCGGCTTGCGAACTAGGGAAGAAAGGTCGGTTTGATCGAATTTCCGGATTTAGAAAAAAATTCAAACTTCATTGGAAAGTTAATTGGATTAAATCTAACACTAATTGAGCTAGTTTGGGTCAAATTTGAGTCCAAAATGAACTTAATTTGACTCAAATCGAACGGGCTCAGGTTCAATGTAACTCGACTATGCTAACTTAATGAAGTTAAATCCGAACCCAAAATAAATTAAAATCAAATCGGACCCGAGAATAAGCGAACTAATCGAGCCTAATCAAATGTGGTCGAGTCTAATTCGACTCAATTCGAGATGATTCGAGCTCGAATTGGACTCGATGAAATTTAATTAAATCGATCGAGGACCCTCAAGGGTACTCGTACAAAAATCAAGATCAATATCAACAAAGTATAGTTCTACCTACTAAATCCATGAAAAGAAAAGAAAAGATAATGCACAACATGAAATGAGTGAGATGGAATATGGTTAAGATTAGATGGGAGATTGAGTCTTAGGTAGATCAAAGTTAGAGTTGGGTTTTCGGACAAAATCCAAAATCCTAATAAATAATGCAAAAAAATAATAGCTTCATTAAGAGAATTGGGTTGATTCATAATCAAAATGGGTCGATTTATAAGTAATCCATCTAAATCTAAATGGCCTAACTCAAATTTTGAACTGGATAATTAAGTCAAGAATTGAATCCGATTAAAGGATTAATTCAGTCAAAATTTGAGGTATTTTTTCACATTACCTAATATATTAATAACTACTCTAGGTGTCCCTCACTACTTAGTTACGTGGAAGCAGGGTCAAAATGAAGGGAGCAAAAACAATCATATTAGCGAGCTGAACATTTGAAAATAAAATAGGATTTTCTTTTTTTTCTTTTTCTTTTTTTTTTTGGGGGGGGGGGGGTTTTTTTTTTTTTTTTTTTTTTTTTTTTGGGGGGGGGGGGGGGGTGATTTAATATGAAGAAAAAAAAATAATATGAAAATATGGGGTATGCAATCGTAGGGACTTCATGGCTTGCATTAAAACTACTATATAATTATGGCCACCGGTCAATAAAACATGCTTATATTGAAGCCTACCTATAGATCCAACAATCAAATAAACAACATCAAGCATAACGACGGCATCACATGCCAATCTATAAAAAAACACAAAAAAGCGTAGCATATCCTATTAGATGGTAATTGTTTCCTTCACTGTCTATGATAATTTCAAAATTAAATTAGTCTAGTTATTAGTATAATACATTTTATAAAATAAATGAATGTTATAGAAGTTGAAAGGAAATGCAAAATCTCATAAAAACATGAATAATAATTTTGTTTTTTTAATTATAACATAGCATAATTAGTATTTATCTTATTTACAAATTATTTGTAAATTTAGACAAATTAATTATAGCTATTGTTTGTTCTTTTTTTTCTTTAAAATTAGCGATGTTAGTCCAAGCTCGGATGAAAAAAATTTAAGGTGAAGTTTGTTAAAATAAATTTAGGCATTCCCTAAAAAAAATTTCTGGTTATGCCACTGTGCATAGCAACTTTTTTTTCATTACAGGAAACATGAAGCAAACTTATGAATTAGATTTGCATCAAAAGAAATTTATATTTCATATTTTGGGTTTATAACTTAGATTGCAATAAGCATGAAGTAAATCATTAAAAAGGTTTGTATCTCAGATTTTGTATTTGCACATTGGATCTCATACATATGAAAATGAATGACAGGAATTTCATTCACATCAACAAGAGCAACATAAATCGTCCATATCTTCACTTATTGCTTCATCATTCTTGTTTTTAAAGAAGAAAATCGGAAGGAGAAATCAGATTTCATAAAATCATTCCAATCACGTTGATGAATCATGAGAAGTATATCGAACGAACCTCTATCTTGGATATTTATAAAGAAATAATATATGGTAATTGCAGAGAATATAATTCATGTGTATGAAAGCTACATTGTTGCAGGTGGAAGTGGAGCAGAAGAGCGGTTTCTTTTCAGGCTGAATCCTATCAAGTATCTTTTGGAAGAGAGCTGTTGCTGCCATTTTTAAACTTGAGATGAAATAATGGTTAAATCTAGCCAATTGTAGAAAACAAACCATCACCCGAATTAAAGAAATTACTTTTTCTTTCCAAAAACACTGAGCCCCACCTAATTAAGAGGTTGTTGAGCCTACTTGAGCCTGTTGATTCATTAAGTAACAAATTTTTTTTGGCATAGGATGTCATCTGTTCTATGGTAGATTTGCATGTGTGCTTGGCTTGAGTAGCAGACAAGCATTAGTAAGTCAAGGATTGGTTAAGTTGATATGTATACACCTATGCTTGACATAATCTTACACCCTTCTAAATATGGTAATTTGTTATTCTTACATTTATTTAATCAAAACACAGCATTTCTCACAAGCAAACCAAATGTATGTAACTATCAAAGAAGATGCTGGAGTGTAAAGCAAAATCATTCCCCATCTCTAGTCGATTTGATCCATACCATTGTGATGGGTCAGAAATATTTGAGCAGGAAGTTTTAAGAACCATGCAAGTAGTGGGCGTCGGAACTATCTGAAACTAAAGCTTAAAATAATTTACATAACATTAGATGAGTTGGCATTTTTTACAAAATGAAGGTGAGGAATGGCATATAATCTATGAACCCCAAGTCCACAGGCAACAGCTTCTTGTATATGCTTATGAAGGGATAAAAGTTTAATAAGTTATGTTATCAATTTACATATTAAATATACTTATGAAGATTGCCTTCCCTGAATCCAAAGTTTCATCCTTCTATTACAAAAAAAATGAATTAATATGCTCTAAGAATAATACACAGAGCAAAAATATGTAGCAGAAATGGCAATCGAAGAACATATCACTCGAACCATTCAATCCTACAGGGGTAGTTGATGTCAACCAAACTCTAATAATTTGGAAAACACATTGTTGTCATCCCTTATTTTGTGCAACTAATTATTGCTATCATATTAATTAAAAGTTTAGAAAACAAGGCAACTGAATATCAAATAATGGCACAAAAGAACGTCAAACATTGAAAAAAGCCATATTGAAGAATAATTTACTAGGTAAATACATCTATCTTCATTTGAAACACAACCACAGAGTCCCCAGTTGGATAATGGACTATCAAAAATAGCAATTCAAAAATGTTGAGCCGAAACATGGTAAAAATTATTTCTGGGTTAACAATGTGTATGAATATAAATACCTTACAACAAAAGTGCAACTAAACAAGTACAGTCAAATACTACCATTTTGTCTGATAAAAAATAGCAACTTAAATAATTTGAATGTTATACTCAGGAACAACTTTATCTTGAACAAACTAAAATTTTGTAAACATTAATTTACTAATTAACATTACTAGTTGTGATTAGGCACAACTACGTCAATAATAAAAATACACACAATTATTTGAAAAATCTACCAAAAGTAGTAGATACACTTGTAAAAGTTGAAATTTAGTAATTATAAATTGTGATCTACAATAAATGAGGCTCATATTGCATCTTCTTCTAAGAAACAAAACTTTCCTATCAATAGGGAGCCCCATGAATGCATCCCTATGATTCTTATCCAATATATACTCAACGACTAATTCATAAAACTTTGGATAATCAAATATCTCTGCTATTTGAGATATTTCTTCCAATGTATTTGCAATTGTGGAGCATTTTCGTGAAACATTTGATGTTGATATTGTAAAATTAATAGATTTAGCAGTGCTTATAAGATCCTCAATATGTTTGATGAACAATTGTCTTCCCCCTAGCTTAGTTGTTCTTATCTTTTTCTTTTATGTGAAATTGGTCGAATATTATGTGATCTTTGTGAAACTCTGATAATATGATCGTCAAGGTCATCTGTATGTAATGTATTTGTCTCAAATTGTTGATGTTCTTCTTCAGAAGATATATCTTTTTTTACATCTTAGAGTTAATGAGGCAATACATTACAGTTTGAAACTCATACATCAGCACCAATAGCAACAACATGACCAAACATGATATTTAATTTTTCTTCAAGCTCAGACATGATTCCATTATATTGAAACTTCTTTGAATAAGGAAAAACCTACAATATGGGAAGAACAGTTGTTTGGTAAGCGCATTATGTTTGATAGAATCTTGCAACTTAATATATATATGGTAATGTACCTATAAATTTTTGTCTTACTGCTCATTTAAAGCATCAATTGTTTTATTCAAAGGGTTGCAACCAATTCCAGTTTCACCACGTATAAAATATTTCCAAAGCTTCCACTCCTTCAAAGGGTTCTAGCGGTGTACTTGTTAAAAAAATTTATTAAGTTTTGCTAGCCTTCCTTAATAAAGTAGTTATCTACTTTCCAACTCTATCTCTTTAATGTAAATGTCATAATAGATTAATGTAGTCTACATCTCCCATGTTGTTGGGGCCCCTCCTTCACTATGCCAAATGAAACTATTATCAAAAAATTTCCTATATATGCTTAAATCTTGCATGATTAGAAGTTTCTATTTAACCTACTACAAAACTAGAGGAACTTCTAGCAAATATAAGCTGTCTAATCCTTTTAAATAGAAAAAAATTTGTAGTACATACAATATTTTTTCACAAAAAAATTAAATTTATCTTGCAATACTTCTACAATTATTTTTGTAAATTTTGCATCCCATTTATTCACACACCCAGAAATCGCCTAAGTAAAAAGTTGGAGATTCCTCGACTGCACCTTCTGGCGCCTATTCATGACTGGGTATGCTCTTTTTTCTTCCTTTATCCATCCTTTTTTGTGAACACAAACCTTCCCTCTGCCTGTGACTTCCCTTCGCACGCAAGCTCGCAAAGTCCTATACCTCCTCTCAAACGAACTCCCTCTTCCTTGTTGCAGAGCACCCGACCTACCTTTCTCAGTTTGCAAGTCTTAACCCACAACACCAGTAGCCTCCGATCAAACCCAAGCCGTACGTCCCCGACCCCCTTGCTTCATCTGCTGAAATTCTTTTGCAATAGAGATATTTGACGATCTAGAATAGAGATATTTGACGATCTAGAATATCCCTTAATTATGAATATCTTTATTTTTTTTTCAGTAATTTATCTAATCAAACATTTTATCACCAAATCCTCTACATTACATCATTAGCACTTCTGCATGAATGAAGATTTCAAACCAAGCTGACTCTGTTTGGCTAGTTATTAGAAGTACCTGCTTTAATGTAAATCTATGTTCATAGCATGAACTTATCTGATCTTCATCACAAAACAATGTTGCAAATAATAGGACTGCATCAAGATTTAATAACTGGGTCAGTTCACAATAATTTTATAATTTATAAGCAAAAAATGTTGCAGAGAATAGGTCTACATCAAGATTTAATCCTTAACGCCAATTTCTTGTTCATTTTGATATTTCCAATTGTCATATTGAATATCTAGATTGCGTTTATTTGTTATTAATTAGTACAAACTTGGTGTTTGTAAGACACTCTTGACAACCATGGTGTAGCTTTAGATTTACATGACTAAAATGAGTTGTCTTATTCACTATGATACTAAGGCTGGCTGACTTCTTTTATTTAGATAAAGGCCATTCAATTAATTTCAGTATATTTCCTTACAAATTATATGACACTTTGTTATTACAATAAATGTTTTCAGTTATTTTAGTTCGAATTTTATTGATCAATGCAAACATTTGTTGGACAAATCATTAACAAATTTATTTATCAAAGCTCTCATGAACAGCCTAGTATTTACAATTTAAGTTATATTATTGCCTTTAATTGAGACAGCACTCTGTTATATGTTTCATTATAAAATTTGGTAACAATTTAAAGTAATTACATATTATAATGCAGATACATAATGTCGGAGGATAATGAGCGGCTCCAGTGATGATT